GAGTGTGCGTGCATATGTCTGTGTTCATGGTAGGGTAAGTGTGTTTATGTCTGTGTGTCTATGTGCAGAGTAAGTGAGAGCAAGCACCCGTCTGTGTGTGTGCGTGCAGGAGGGAGAGTGTGTTTGTGCCTGTGTTCATGTGCCGAGTGAGTGAATAGTGTGCACACCCATCTGTGTGTGCGTGAGTGTGCATGTATATGTCTGTGTTCATGACAGGGAGAATGTGTTTGCATCTGTGTCCACATGCAGACAGTGAGCGCGTAGAGTGCGTGCCCATCTGCGTGTGTGCATGTATCTGTGTGTGCGAGCATCCATGCATGCGTGTTCATGGCAGGAGGGAATGTGTTTGCCTCCATGTGCAGAGAGTGAGTAGAGTGTGCACTCGTCTGCATGCGTGCCTGTGTGTGGGTGCATGTATCTGTGTTGCTGGCAGGGAGAGTATGTCTGTATCTGTGTGTCCATGTGCAGGGAGTAAGTGAGTACTGTGCACCCATCTGCGTGTGTGTGCCTCTGTGTGTGTGTATGTTTGGCCATAGCGGGACAGGGGGAGCAGGGAGAAGTGGGAGGCAGGGTCCCCCAAGCCTCAACCCCCCCCCGCCAGCATCAGGAGGGGAAGGGGCCCTGTGCCCCACCCAACAGCCCAGCTCCTGTGGGAGAAGGAGGGCTCCAATTTTGTGTTTGCCCAGGGCCCCAGTACACATTAAATTCACCTCTGGGTGTGGAGTTGGCATGGGGCCAGATGTGAAGCAGTGCAGGACACTGGGTGGAGGTGGTGGCCACCATGTGCAAACTCATGTGTTCGCCATCATTCTTGACGGGCAATTGGCTAGTATTTCATAAAAACTAGACGTAGTCCACTGCTACTTACAGCCACCTTAACCAATCTGAAATACCCAGAACTAGATGAGATCCCTAACATGAGAGAGGGAGAGGGAAAAAAAACAACCCTTGTATAGAAGCCATAATGCGTCCATTACTATTTTCCCTTGTTCACATAACAAGCACAATCACGTAAAGATAAAAAAATACGTCCTTTTCAGAAACTCATCAACTATTAATAAAGGATCAACTCTTTCTTCAAATTTGACCACGGGTTTCATCTTAAATGCTTATGATATGTTCTTTTTCTAGTATATTCTAAATATAGTCTACAGCTACATTCAAAATTAATGCAGCTGCTTCCCTAATCCTAGGGCACTGACAAGGCGCCATGAGTGAGAGCACCCCTAACCCAACCTATTGGGTTGGCGGGATAGCAGGGGGGAGAAATTGAGCCTGCCTGCAACTGAAGAGCCATCTCTCCCCCAGCTCCGCCAACTCCCTCCTCCTCAGTGCTTTGGGGCTGTCTGTCCGGGGCCGTCTCTAGGAAGATGGAGTGGAGGGGAGTGGAAGCGAGCTGCCAGCTGGGGTTTGCCCAGCCTGAGCTGGAGAGGCCAGGGCTGAGAGAGTGGCCCACAAGACAGGGGCCTCCAATCTACCCACCCCCTACCAACTCAGGAGGCTAACCTCAGGAGCTCAAGCGGCAAACCTTCACCTGTCCTTACTGCAGATAGCCCCAATCGCACCACAAATTAATCCTAGGGAACACAAGTTCCCTAAGACTCTGCAAAGTGGAGTTCTTTCATCTGACCCCTCATTTGACAAAGGTTAATTTGTCATGTGATCGGCCGCTTTAAAAGTACTCTGCTGCCATGGATGTGTGTCATGGCACAGCTGTAAGTGCTTTCAGGGGGCCGATCATGCAACAAACGTAAATTTCTGTCTGCGCCCCTGAAAGCAGCTTCCCTCCTCTTACGTGCCAACCACCTTATAATTTATCTTTAGTCAAGAATCCTCTTCCTTTTGCTTAGTTTTCCATATAATTTCCCCATCAACTCAGAATCATCAGTAAGCACCAGTATTATCATACCGAGTCCTTCCATCACATGCTATACTTGCAAGTGTTTTAAAGAATAGCTTTCACCTTTGCAGTTAAATTCATCTTACCAATATTTTCCTTACAATTTCTGCACTCACATTTCCTCAACTCCAATTGTTGTGTCCCTTCACACCTGATGAACCATAAACCGTATCACTCGAAGAGAAAAGTAGAACAGGAATAATTTAGCCTTACAATAACTCAGTTCTGACAAAATCCTTCTTAGTTTTCCATGCATTCCTTGGCCAAAGCAGACAGAACTGAATAATTTTAATTCCTGCTTTTGAGGCAATATCTTCTAGGGATATGCAAAATGGGCCATATTCAATTCGGATTCAGATTTGGTGCTAATCAGGGACAGTGATTCAATTAATTGATTCAGATCACTGTCCCGATTCAATTCAGCCGAATCCGAAGATTCGATGCTGATTAGAAGAATCAGCGATTCGGCCACAGACACAGCTTTAAATGTTTTTTCTACATACCTTGAGGTACCAGGCATGACTCGTGAATGCTGCAATGGTGGGGCAGAAGTGCAGAGGGGGGCCCCACGTGCTTGGTAGTGAACCTGGAAGTGGACTGGAAGTTCTTCCGGTCCAGTACCGGGTCTGCTGCTGAGCGCACTGGGAGCCCATGCTCCCAGACCCAGGAGGCACCAGTCACCGAGTCAGGGGGTGTGGGGGAGCCCCTCAGCGGACCCGGAAGTTCTTCCGGTCCACTTCTGGGTCTGCTGCTGAATGTGCTGGGGACCCTCCCACGCACCTATGGGACGCTCCATCTGCCCCACCATCTTAGTATTCACGAGCTGTAAAAATACAGCTCTGGTACCATGAGGTATGCAGAAAAAACATTTAAAGCTGTGTCTGTCTGAATCATCGAATCTTTCCGAATCAATTCGGAGGGTTCCGATTCGATTTGGAGAGATTAAAGGGTCTCTTGATTCAATTCGGATTTGTAGATTCAGTCACCAAATCAGGCCGAATATCTGCCCAATCGAATCAGAGACCGAAGCTTCGCACAGCCCTAAATATCTTCACCACCTTTTACACACGGGTTACTACCCACAGGCACAGCACAGTTAGAATTATCAGAAGTTTGGTAAACTCATAATTTTCTCATTCACCTCTGAGATCCCCCAGTGTCTTTACTGCTTCAGTTTTCCTTACTGAAGTAAGCTCCAGGTGCCATTCTTCTGAAATACAGCCAAATGCTAGCCCCTCTTGCTTCTAAACTAAATGGAGTTGAAAAACAATTTCTCCTAAGATAAGATGCCTTGGATGCTGTAAAAAGTTACGCACGTGCTTGATTTAATTGTCTGAGGAGCTTCACTTAAGTCAGTGAGACTCGGGTTAAATCTGTACAGAACTATGCCTAGTTATCATAGACAAGAAAAACAGATCTTTAGTGTTATTTAAGCATCAGGATTTTAGCTGACAATGCAGTCTTTTAAAGACATGATGGAAAAGAATAAAAAAAGGCTACAAGGATTAAATAATCTTTGCAGAACACTTACAAAATACCACAATTACTCACATCCAAGACAATATTCCCTCCCCCCCAAATGAACATACTCACTTGAGACCTGAGTACCAGCCTGGAGCTCTGACTTTGGCACAGAGCTGAAGCTAGAGCTGAGCCACTGCCTGCAGCAGGCAGGGCATCTCATATGGTGGGGGAGAGGGCTTGCAGTGGGGAAGATCACTGTGGGGGAGCACAAGGGAGATTGCATGGTGGGGGGCAAACAGAGGAGACTGTGCAGTGAGTGAATGGGAGATCTGTGGTGTGCAGCTTGCGGGGAGCACAGGGGAGATGGCAGCCTGTTCCCCTACACCCTCCCTCAGCTCCAGCTGCAACCCTGACCCAGTCAGGCCTGGAGCTGCCACTGCCTGGCTAGGCTGGGCTAGGACCAGGGCTACCACTGCTGACTGCGCCAGAGCCAGAGTGGGTACCGCTGTGGAAGGTAAGCAGCAGGGGGGAATGGGGTGTGCAGTGGGGTGGGATGAAGGACCAGGCACTGGGCAGGGGAGGCACAGGCAGGCAAGGGGTGATGGGGGTGGGGCAAGGAGGGGACATGTTGGAAGACATCAGGCAGCAAGGAGTCAGACACAAGGGGGGCAGAGGGTCAGGCACAGGCATGGAAGGACAAGGGCAGGGGGTAAGAAGCATTGGTCTGGCCCTTCACCCCTCACTACTGCTTTCCCCACATGAGTGGGGTAAGGGGGGAAGTCATGATCATTCAATTTGAAACAACCCTCCAACAACTAGATTCTGTATATGGAAAATTAAAACACATTTATAAATTTCCACGTATAGAATCCAGTTATTGGTGGCAGGCTGCCTTGCATGCAAAATTACCTTGGATTAGGGCAAACAAAATAATATCTGGTCCTTAATACAGACACAGCCACTATACATTTGGACAGACCCGGGCCTACCCCTAGAAGCTCGACAGGTCCCCAAAGGAGGTGGAGGAAGCATGACCCTTCAAGGACAAAACTCCCCCCCACCAGGGCCCTGCCTCGCATTCAACAAATGCGGGATTGAAACCAGCTCCAGAGCAGTCACACATCTTGCAACAGCAATGTCGGACCTTTTTACAGCCAGGGTCTATTTTTACAGCGCGAGGATGACTTCACACCAGGGGATGGTCTCCACATATTGCGCACTGAATCACAGTCGATAGCGCGATCTATGTAACATGTAGCCGGGCCTAAGTGTGAGCACCCGCACCACCGCCATCCACCAAACTCTGCTTTCTAGCCAAGGCCCGAGGGCTGGACCCCGCCTCCTCTAAAAAAAGGAACCAGAGCCCGACAACCGGTTGCTTGCGTCACTGGGCTCATTATTACATCATCGGGGCTCGACTGGACAGAGGAGGGAGGGAGGCACAACTCTAGACAGGCCCCCATGGGGCTGAGGCGAAGAGGGGGCGGGGCCGGGCGAGGTGGGCTCTCCCGAGTGGCGTCACGGAGGGTCTCCCACGTCAGCAGCCCGCTCGGCTCTAGCTGCAGAGCTCAAGAGACGCCCCAGCCAACGCACATGCGCCCCCGGGGCTCCCCCCCTGCCCCGCGCGCAGTGGTACCTTCCTGAGGGGCATCTCCCCCTCCGAAGGCACCCGTTAGCCACATCACGTGGCACGAGAGTCCGGGGGGAGGGGTGGGGGCGCGGAGCTCCCAATCAACCCGTTCTCACTCCTCGGCCGGAGGCGGGGCCCGCTCCCTTCCCCGCGCGCCTCGCCACGCCCACTCCATTCCAGCTTGGCGCTGCGGCAAGCTCGGCTGCTGATTGGGCAGGCGAGCCGGAACGGGCGTGACGTCACAGAGAGGAGGCGTTCCCCTTCCCAGCTTCTTGCCCCGTGGCGGGGGCGGAGGAAGAACGAGCTGTGCTTCCCTACCAGCTTGTGCGCATGCGCCAGAGGCTGCCCCAGTCTAGTCTTAGGGGGGGAGCGATGGGCGGCGTCTTCAGTGATTCATCACTCCGGCACTAGTGCTAGTGCAAATAGATGCTGTAGCGATAGCAGGCAGGAAGGCAAGGTCAATGGTCCTGCAAAGTACGTTTTGCCTCTTGCTGACTTGTCCCAAAGTGTGCTTTCATGGTTGTGCAGTCACTGGCCTTTCTGATTTTAAATCAATAAGAGTGTCCTATCATCACATCCAGGTTTTGCAAAAATCTGGTTGGTTTAATAAAAGAGATCATCTCTACCATGAGTCCTGATTGCCTGCCATCAGAAGCAGGCAAGGTTCTTGTCAATCCAATGTCTTTTGTTCGACCAACTAAAACAGTTGGAAGGAAAAATGCTTCTTTGCCTATCATTGCACTGAGCCACTTTGATACATGACAAAACACAGTATTTGAAGCTGTACCCTACAGCAGCCAGAACTCCAGCAGAGAAAAAATGTTTCTGTTTCAAATCACAGCCAAGGCCATCCTTCTGTAAGAAGACTTCCAAGTGGCAAAGACGTCCAGTGTGGAACTGGAAGCCATGCTGGCTAGAGGAAGAAAGCAGGGCCAAGAATGAACCTGAGTGATAGAGCACAGTCTCTCTCTCTCTATCTTTGTAGAGATGCCCCGAAAGTAGCTGAGTCTGGATTGCCTTTCTACAAATCATCTCCTCCCAAAGGTCTCAGGGGAGCAACATCTTCCCCTAGAATCCTTTGAGTATTCCTGTGAGAAGAGATGACACGAGCCAATAACTTTTCTTGGTTTTACTTATTAAATTGTTTCTAAAAAATAAATAAGTAACCAACTGATCCACACAGGGCAGAATACACTAAATCAGTGGTTCTCAACCTTTTTTGTACCAGGAACCCAACCCAATGTTTGTAAACATTGATGGCCAACCCTGACCCAGTGCCCCTCATTTTACCAGCCTGCAATGGAAAAGCCATAGTTTCCCACATTTTTATCCTTTAAAGGAGAATCTATTTTTAAAGTTTGTTTGCAACCCTTTCATATATTCTTGCAACCCACTTTTGGGTCATGAGTCATGACCCACAGGTTGAGAAACGTTGCAGTAGACTATTAGACAAAATAGAAAAAATAAAACTGCATAGTGAATATTATAAATATATTTAATCTTTATATTTCAACTGTGTTATCCTTAGAAGAGAAACAAAATATTTTAACTCCTATTATTAAAAAAAAACCTTAGGGACATTTAAAGAACATTGCATTTAATTTTCTATGATACCCCTAAAATAACAATGCTTTGCAATCTGTAAATGGAAAGGTTCCCATTTTGATACAAGTTAATTAAAAGATAAGGAAGTTTAAGTTTTCAAATCTGTGAATTTATGAAATCTGAAAAGATTTGTTTATTTAGGCATTAATTTTTAGGTATTACGCATAATTTTTTTCAACACAGCTCCTAAATGTTTCCAAGATATAAGAATTAGCTATTGGCACTTCCTAAACCTTTCCTAAATTAGTTAAATATAAATAATTTACATTTAAGTTGGTAACTGTGGGTGATTTTACAACACAAAATTATTTAATAGTATATCTTTCATATAAAGTACCATAAAATATTTCAAGTCCTTTGGAAACAGATTTTTTGGGGAGAGGGTGAATTGCCAACCTCCCACCAACTTCAATGGAAGAATATTCAGAATTTGTCCTTCACTGACATTTTGATGTTTAGGCATATTTCATACTGCAGATGATGCTGAGGCAGCTAATTCACTCAGTCTAGATGCACACAAACATTCAATTCTGCAGTCTTCGTGACATTCTAGAGATTATCAACTTTTTGAGGTTTCTGAGTGAGCAACATGGAAGGTTAGATTTTAAAATGTTGAAAATTAAGACAGATTAATACACGTGTCATGCCAGCCCCACAATACATTAAAGAGAACTGCTTGAACTTATGTTAGTTGGCTCTGCAGAAATGGGACAGGTTATGGCAGGGGTGGGCAATTATTTTGGGTAGAGGGCCACTTACTGAGTTTCAGCAAGCCATCGAGGGCCAAATGACAGGCAGCCCAGGGCAGATTAATATTAATTTTCTAATTTTTTTAGGGGCCCTGTGGGCCGGATAGAATGACCTGGCAGGCAACATCCAGCCCCTGGGCTGCATTTTGCCCACTCCTGGGTTATGGAGATGGCAGGTATAACAAGAAGTGTGTCAGGTTTTAGGAAGGCAAAATGTACTAATCTTTATATATGTGCTGAAAGGTATTATTTTAATACTGTTTATCTTCTGCTTGTGTTTAAATCATAAGTAGTATTTGAAAATGGCTACAGGGCAATTGCATGTCTTCATATATTCATTTTGCCCTAGTAAAGTCATAGTGCAACCGTTAATGTAAGTACTGCTCTGTGTTTGGCCAGCAGAGGGGAGTTTTGTACAAAATAGAGCACTTTTCAATGCTACTGCCCTAGCATAATCTAAAAATCACTACAATTTCTCTATACACTATTTTGTGGAGGCTGACACTTTCATATAATTTCTTTTTTCTTTCTATCGGCGCTAAAAAGAAACAAAATACTACCTTTTGTGGAATCAGAAAAAATATATGCCTTAAACTTTGATTATTTTAGTTCTAAGATGACATAACCGCTTTGTGGAGAATTGCTGGCTCTGTATAGTAGAACAGATAAGAGAAAGTGTTTGTTCTTTGTAACTCCTCTGCAACTGCTTCGCTCACCGCGGCCTTGAAGATAGCAAAAAAGTATGTACAAATCTGATTTCCAGGTGCAAGAAGGAGGTTTGTGAACTAACCTCGCCTCCCCCATTAGTTCCCATCCTGATTACAGCAAAGAAATAATGAAGTAATATTATAGCCGCTTTTCATGCTAATTTCACTATATGATCACGTGAGTTGTAAGCAACTGTTAAAAAGTATATAAGCCTCCTGATTTTGCTCTTGGGGGGGACCCCTTCCAAGTGCTTGCGAAATCCATGTCACTTTGGAGTCCCCCCTACAGCTGTAGTTTCTTTTGAATAAAAGCTTCTGCTGACCTGACCCAAAAGTATGCTGCGTGTGTTTCCACGACAATTCCTGGTGCCGTGACTCAGATCCAGAACACAGGCTGAGAAAGGAGGACCGCAGACTGCCCCCCACTGAACCCCGAGGTGCCAAACTTGAGAGGTAAGAGACCTAATTCAAAATCTCTATTGGGGTTTCGGAGGAGGACTGCCTGTAGGCTCCCAACTTGGCCGTGGTAACTGGATCTGAACCTTGTTAAAACAGGTCAGTCTGAACCTTACTGCCGGCTAAAATTTTCTGTCTGGTAAAGGATCCCATTTTGTGTCTGGTAACGTACGTTTTATTTAGGGAGAAACTGTATGAAGCACCTTCATCCTACAGCACATCGGGCTTGTCGTTAATTAACTAAGGCGGTGTGGGGGAGGAGGTCTGGCTGACTGAATGAATGTGCATGTGTGTGTATTTAGAAATATGAGCCACTGACCAGGTCTGAGACTACGGTTGGGTTCAGCCGCCCCAATTCTGCCTGACAGGGCAGTTTTGAAAGCAAGGGGGCCCAACTGGAACCTCGTGACCCAGTGGACAGGGCTTCCCAGTGATTGAATAAATGTGTGTGTGTGCATTTAGAAAAATGAGCCACTGACCAGGTCTGGGACTAAGGCTGGGTCTAGCCGCCCCGATTCTGCCTAAAAAAGGTAGCGTCGAAAGCAAGGGGGCCCAGCTGAAACCTCGTGACCCAGTGGACAGGGCGTCTGAGTGATTTTGTCTTTTCCAAACCCCTTGTCCCAGTAGCTTCTGCCGAGAGCAGGAGTGAAAGGATTCCTCTTGTGTTTCCCATTCCCATTTCCATTTTATGAGCCGGTGTCGGGTCAGAAGCCTTTTGTCTGGGCAGTGAAAAACTGCGGGGCAAGGCACTGAGCGGCCCGGACATCCTAAATAAGCCTCTCCTACGTCTCCCTGTGTGACTGAAAATGGGAACGAGTCAGTCTAAACAAGTTCCCGTCCCCCCTAAGGGGACTCCGGCGTACTTTATGTACACACACTATTCTCCCGAGGCTTGCAAGTACCTGGATAAGTGGAACTGGTATACTAGGGATGATCCTGTGAAGCATTTTCCACAAGAAGGAACATTTGATCAGGATAAAATAGTGCACTTAAGAGGGGCTTTAGAGTCCCGTGGATCCAAAACACCACAAAACCAGTGGGACGCGTTCTTTTATTGGTATGATGAAATGTCCAAAAGGCGGACAGAATCTCAAACTAGGAGCCTAAAAGACTCTCAAGAAAAATTAAAACAGCAGTTACAAGCTGTTCGGGAGAAATTGGCTGCTCCCCCAAATTACACGCCGGCCACCGCTCCGATGTATCCAGCATTGCCCGGGGCGCCCCCACCACCGGAGCCAGCAGAGGATATCCTTGACCTTTGTTCGAACCCTGCTCTCCTGGGACTCCCACATCAGCAACAACCGGTTCAACATCAGGCTGCAGCCCAGGCTAGTAACTCATTAGCTGAAGCTCCTTCAGTAAATCCATCCACGGAGCTTAATAGTCTGGACTCATCCACCATATCTGCCACTCAATCATCACCAGTGTGGCAATTTACTCCTGGGTCACAACCCACCACAGGTGTATTTAGAAGAATGGGAATAGGCATGGAAAGATCTCCCATCAATCTTAGATCCCGAGCTGCACAAGTTTACCCCCTAAGACAAATGCCAGGCATTGGCACCGATGGACAAAATATAGTAACCGTGCATGCACCCTGGACTCCAGGTGATCTCTACAATTTAACTCAAAAATTCCCCAAAATCAGGG